CCTGCAGGGCCAGGGGAAGGGACACGGATCTGGGGAGATGAAACTATCCTCTGAAGGCCCTGGCCGGTCTGGGGGCCTGCCTGGGGTCCCAGGAAGCTAGAGCTAGTCTGCAGCTGGTGCTCGGCGCTAGAACCCAGGGGCTGGATCGGGAAGTTCATGACCATCACGGCTCCAGCATCCCGGAGGAGCGTGTCCTTGAAGGTATCAATACCCAGAATGCCCAAGACGGAGCCCAGTGGGGCTCCAGAAATCAAGTCAGAAGTGTGCAGCAGCTCAGGCCCTTCAGCCGCTTCCAAGAGCATCGTCTCCTGTGTGCAGACAAAGCCTCACTTCGAGGCTCTTGGCTGGCGGGGATGCCCTTCATTCTCAACAGGGGACGAAGCGACCCACCTGGAGGCCCACAGCCTGGGTGACTACATCTGGCAAAGGGCGTTTTTCTCTATCAAAGGCGGCGAGGTTGGTGGCACTCGGGGCACCACCCCTTCCCTCTCTGTCAAGGCTCGGGGAGAGGCCGCTGTGAGGTCGAGCTGCCTGAGCTCACAGAACTGCTAAGCTGGTTCCTAAGAGGAGCAGCTGTCTGGGAAATCCTTGGACCCACGGTGCTGGGTCCCTCAAGGTCCCAGCAACACTTGTGCACCAGCTCCCTGGCAGAGAGTGACAGCAGCACACCAGCAACAAACACGAAGCAACCCTACACACAAAATGCTTCAAGTTCAGGGAAAGGGAAAGAAAGTCCGAGTTTGCTGTTTCCATCCCAGCAACATCCACGCAGCTGGCACAAGCCTCGGCTAGCTGGGAGGAGGAAACTGGCCAGCCCTGAGTGGAGACGGGCCTGCCTTGCTGCTCGGCCTCCATGGCTAAGCCTGCGGGGAAGGAAGCAAGGCAGCCTCCATCCAGAGCTCTGGGGAATTGTGGGAAGAGCTCCTCACTCTCAGACCTTCGTTTTGTACACATCATTAGAAAAGTTCTATTTAAAACAGAACCTCTTTTACTGGCAAAGACCCTGACAGGGACCCCGAGGGGCCAGCCTCCTTCTCACCTAACTAGCCCATGAGGCCCTCAGCTTGTGCTGCAGCCCTTCGGCACGGGCGCCCCGGCTTGCACACTCACGCACACCTAGGGCTGGCCGAAGGGGAGAAGGAGGCTCAGTGAGCTTCGCAGAGGGTCAGCCCTCCAGGCTGCAACAGGTGTTGGGCTAAGGTGACTAAGGGGCTTTATTCCAGACTGCCACCAGCGGGAAGGAGGGAGGGGTGGGCAAGGCCTCTTGAGGTCAGGCTCTGCTGCCACCAGCCCGATGACAGTGTGGTCCCGCGCAGGGCCACCATCTGCGGGGCCTCCCGGGGCTGCGGCCGGCAGCCTCTCAGGCAGGGAGGACTCGTGACTACATGTGTGCAGGGCGCAGGGGAGGGGGCAGCCTCAGTTACTCCTGTCCAAAGCCCTCCGTCTCCTCAATGGCGTACAGCAGCTTCTCCTTCAGTTGTTCATAGCTCTTGTATGGTGGGAGATCCAGACGGTTGAAACTGTTGAGAAAGGGGTGGAAACGTCAGCACAGGAAGCTCAGGGCTGCTGGCCGAGGAGGGTCAAGAGCGTTGAGGCAACTGTGGCTCTACCACCACCCCCACCAGCTGGTGAGATGCGGAAACAGGGATGTCAAGGACCCTGCTCTTGGGGCCTTAATGCTTCAGGTTCTTGGACCACAGAGGGGTTAGGAGAGAGACCAGGCAGCTGGGGAAATGGGGAGTAGGCAAGAGGGCACTTGGGGCAGCAGCTCTTTGCCTGCTGGAATGTAAGTGCTTCGATATCTAATACCCAATATGACGGCCAGGGGGTATGTCTGCTGCCACAACTCCTGAAAGATCAGAGGCCCAGACAAAGGCGGCTGGCATATCACAGCCCCTCCCTCCAATCCGACAGCCACAGACATGCAAACGTTGCTGGACTCAAGGCCCCAAAGTTTGCTCTGTCTATTGGGCTGCCCTCAGGGGCGCATAGGGTCTGTGAGGTTCCAGCCACATCCCAGTAGAACCAGCAGGCTCACCAGGTATGGCTTCGGGGCAGCCAGGTTTCCTTGCCAACCTTGTCGATGCAAAACTTCTGTGGTCCGTTGCTACCTGTTATCCAAAGAAACACATCTCCTATAACAGGGCCGTCCCTCCCTAAGACAGGACCCTCTGGCTCCGCCCACAGATGCCTCAGCCCGGGAGGCAGAGGCCACAGCTCTTGCCCCTCCCACGGACTTGCTTCCAGGAAGTCACTAGGTTCTACCCTCCCTGAGCCATCCTCACCCCCACCCAGGGGTGCCAGCAGGGCAAGGGGAGACGCACCAATGAGTTCGGCAAATCCCCCGACAGGCAGGCGGCAGGTCCCTGTAACAAACTGCAGCAGCCGGATACTCTTCTCGTTGTCCATCTCCTTCACCACCTGCAACTCCGAAAGTCGAAGCAGTCAAGTGACTCCCGTGGCCCAGCACCTCACCCGACTCTGTAACTCTCCTCTTTAAGGCCGAGCACACAAAGCCCGGACGGCCGGGGGTACAGCCACCCACCTGGGAAACCCCTAAGCTGCTCCCTCTAAGAGGCTGTCTTTATAGAACATCCCCGTCAGTCCACGGGGCATGGCTGTCTCAGAACACCTTGGTATTCTCTTCTCCAAGTTCTACTTTTTAAGATATACAAAAAATGGGAGTGACTACTTAAAAATGGGTACAGGTTGGTGTTTTTTTGGGGGGGTAGGGTTGGGGGGAAGGAGGATGAACTGTTCTGGAATTAGCTAATCATGATGGTTGCACAAAAGCCACTGCACTATACACTTTAAAATGCTTAACATGGTAAGTTTTATGGTATGTCAAATTTCACCTCAACCAAAACAGTTATTCTCTTTCTGTGTATTTGCTATACTTCAGAATGACACCACCACCCACACACAACTCCTTACATACAGGAGTTTCTCTGAATGCTTTCCCATCCCACGTGGCTGGAAGGAAACCACGTGACCTATGGGAGCGTTCCCCTGCCTGCGGGCCCACCTACCACACACTGGCCTTTAGAGCTACCCCAGCTGACCACCGACACTCCTGCCCAATGCACTGGCCACCACCCAGCTGCAACAGCTCCATCTGTCCTGAGACTCGGTTTCTCATCTCCTTTTGCAAGTTGCTGGGGGAGATGAGGAGAGTGCCAAAGGTCGGGGAGGTGATAACACAGCAGAGTCCTTGGGCTTGAGTTCTAGTCGGGTCTCGTGTCCCTTGGGGGCTGCGATGACCAGGCAGGACCCACCTGCCAGAACCACTGGATCTGCTTGCTGTTCTTGGTGTAGTGCCGGTAGATGGTGTTCTTCTGCCAGTCGTTCATGTCTATCTCCTGCATTCCGCACAGCATCAGCTGCGAGGGAAAGGGCGTCAGCAGCGCCGGCCCTCCCGCCACCAGGTGGAACCGCCCCAGGCACTGCCAACTACTTCTGCTGGCAGTTTTAATCATATGGACAGCACAAATCTTGCACATGGACCCCCTCACACCAGGGCCTAGGGAAGGGTGGGTGTGAGGACCCAAATCAAAGTTAGTAGACTGGGTGGTGCCCGATGGAGGAGGGAGCTTGTTGCTTCAGTCCTGGGCAGTAGGGGTTCTACGGGGCATTTCTGTGGGTACACAGTGAGGCTATCCAAGGGCAGGATCGCCCCAGAGGCAGGGGCTCAGGGTCCCAACAACCGTAGTTCTCACCTCCAGCTCTTTCTCATCAAAGTAGCGCAGCCACTCCAAGGGGGCCACCTCGTTGAAGCCGTCTAGGAAGGCTTTGGTCTGCTCCTCCACGCCCCGGGTGAAACGCCAGTCGGTCAGCAGCCTGAAACAAAGACAGCCTGTTGGTGGAGCCCGAGAGGAATCTGCTGAGACTCAACTTCCCACTTCTGGGCTGCGAGCCCCGGCTGCTGCTGCCCCAGAGCAGAACCTCTTAACCCTCCCAGCAGCCCGGAGATACTGAGTCTGAAATCACCACCAGCACCTCCTCCTCCTGCCGCCGCCTGAGCCTCAGATGTATGGATGTTAACAGACTAGACTGAGACCTGGAGAACACGCACAGGTGAACGCATGCACACATGCATGTGAGATGGTGGGTTTGAGCACACAGGACCAGAAAGAAAAGAAAGATGTCTGCGTTTTAGGACTCGTCGAAGAGAGTCAGCCCTGCAGCCCTAAGTCCACCATGTGGGAAACCAGAGAGCAAGGAGGAGCTGCCACAGGGCTCTGGGCTCTGGCTCCCCCAGCTCTGGTCAGCATGTGACCATCCACGGGCTGCCATCTGAAGGCCATGCAAAATGGGGGTTTCTGTGACCCCTGGAGACCTATGGGCCATGCGCGGGCTGCTGTGCCTCTGCTCCCACACCCCCACTCTGTCTCCCAGCACTTGAGACTCACATGATGTACTCCTCCTTGTTCTCCTCCGTCACTCGGATGCTCTCGCCACCTTCCTTCAGTTCGTGGGTCGTCACCTTGCCCAAAATCTCCATGTCCTGGATGAAGTACAGCTCGAGGCCACACTCCTCTAGGTTGTTCTCTCTGGGGGCACGAGAGCACAAGAGGGAAGACGTCTCTCTCAGAAGGGTCTTCCCTCGATCCCGTTCTACCACTCACTTTAGTGCCCCTGGGAAACGAGGACGTGTCCCAGGACCGGGGACAGCAGCACGGGCCTCTCCTGACGCAAGGAGAGAATTGCGGAGCTGCCTCATGGGCACCTAGAAGCTGAGCGTCTCCACCAACACCCAGGCAGCCTGGGTGAGGCCCAGAGGCCACTATGGCAGAGAAAATAAAGGCCGTGGGTACCTACTCCCAACCAGAGATCCCTCTCCCCCCAACACGAGGTGAGCGAGGGGCTCACTTGATCCAGATGATGGAGTTGTAGAATTCGGGGTCGATGGACTCCAGGTCCTTCAGGGTCGGTCTCTTGTTGAGCATCCGCTTGTAGAAAGGGAGGGTGAAGCCCGTGTCAATGAACTTTCCGTGGTACAGAGCCTGGGGAGGGAGGACGCACAGCGGAGGTTTGCGTTCCTGCAGGCAGGCTCCAGGGTGCTCTGCATCAGAGCCCGGGCACCGTCCGCTGCCCTCTGCCCGGAGAGCACCATGCATCCAGCTACCCCAGGCCCCAAGGGAGGGTCTGGGAAATAGGCAGCACTCTGTCCTGTGTCCTGACGGGGACCTGGGGACAGACTCTTCTCTGACCTGCGGACCACAGGGACGGAGCAGAGCCACCTGCTCAGGAACCCACCTTGGGCCTGCTGCCTGCCTGGCACACCTGCCTGCCGGCTCCTGGCTCTAGCAAAGATGTGCCCACACTCACAGAGAAGACTCGCTCAGCACAGCTCCCGGTGGCAGCCCTGACTCGCCGACGCTCAGAGCTGGGCAGCACCAGCAGCCAAAAATAATGCAGACGCCGCTGACGGCGAGAGCTGGCGGGCCAGTGGTGAGTAATAGTCTAGGGTTTTACTGGCCTGGCGGCTGCTGGGCCAAGCAAATCTCTGGACCTGGGAAAAATGTGCCCACTTCCTGAGCCCAACACCTTGGCCAAAAACTTCCAGACCAGAGGAAGGGACATATTTAGTCACCGGCTCTTGGGCCCTCCCGAGAGGGGAACAGGGCGAAGTAAAGGAAAGTTAGCAGTGAAACAGCAACTACCAAATATGGCAGTGGGCTCCCGTGGGTTCCCCTCCTCAGTCCTGCTTCTCCACCCTCAGGAGACATTCAACCGGATGCACGTGACATGACCCCCTGCCCTGTTCACGGTATGTTCCTATTTCTAGGTAAGTACAGATAAAGCGTGCCACCCCTTCCCTACCCTGCCAGCTCCTGCCAGCTCCCTCCTCCATCGGGCACCACCCAGTCTACTAGGGTCTGTTCTAAGCCAGTGCAGATTCCATATCCCCTGACACAGGCCAGTGTCTCAGCAGGACAGTCCCCAATGCTCCCACCCTGGGCTGGTGGCAGGTGCTGGCACCCCCAGAGGTGGGCGGCAGGTGGGCAATTATGTGTGCTCAGCCCGTCACCCCCAACACCCTCAGAAGAGCACCTGTGAAGCCCGTGACGACCCAGGGCCCTGGCTTTCGCTCGATGAGTCCTCCACAGGTCACCATGGAGAAACCCTCTCGACGCCCCCGGGTGGGCACTGAGAGAAGTCCGAACTAGTCCCGAACTCTCTCTGGCTTTTTGCATGTTTAGTTAGTTCCGTGAGGATGACAGTGGCGCTGCTAGTGGTGTGTAGGGTCTGGCTCCTCGGCTGCCCCCCTCCCTGGAGGTCTCGTGGCAATGAACCTTACCATGGCGATGAACCTGCCGATGAAGCGGAAGTAGGTGAGGTGGTCGGGGTTGATGGAGGAGGCGGGGTTGATCTGCAGGCAGTAATTGTTCTTCCCGGCGTATTCGAATAAGCAATACATGGGGTTGAGCACCTCATGGGACAGGAGGAAAAACCACTCTCTGTGAGAGAGAGAGAGAGAGAAACAGGACTAGCGGATCCTCCCCTGCACGCGGGCTGGAGGCACACCGCTCCTCTGCCGTCCTCCTCAGCTGCTCTGGAGACACGGGTCCTGGGCAGGCGAGCCAGCAGCTGGCTAACCTGAAGTAACAGCAGGTCAGTGGACAGGGTGGGGTCAGACCCAGGGTGAGCGAGGACGACAGCCACGCTTGAGGGTGACGCTCAGGAAAACGTGAGTGTGTCGGCTCCGGGTGGGCATCCAGGACTTTACATCTTAATGGCAAAGGGCCCCTGGCACCCTGGGGGCACCATGCACAGCTGTGCAGGCTGTGCCCTACACAAGAGTACTATGGCAAAATATCATAGACTTGCACATTTATTGCAACAACTTTCCTGCAGCCAAGCTGTTTCTTTCTGTAAAAGCCAGAATATCGCCACCATTTTCCAACATGGAAGTGTCTTGAAATAAGGCATCTTTTTCTAAATCTTGCAGCGATGCTGTATGAATAGCAGCCACCCCGCTTCCACCCAACCTGAGCAGGTGGCGTAACATGAGCACATGATAATGCATTCCCACCTCCTGATGCATGAACTGTGATCCATGCTGCCTGCAGACTATAAACCTCACTCCCACTGCAGGTCTCTTGCTTTCCTTGCACTCTGCCCGCTCCTCCCCCAGGCCCCATTACCAGACTTTGCTTGTCCTTCTGCATGTTCATCTGAACCAACACCCAGGCCTTAGCATCTCTTTGCACTCTAGGTACAAGCCTCAAACCAGAATTCAGAGTCCTTCTGGGCTTCAGCTAAACCCACAGGGGGACAACCCAACGAGGCCAGTCCCTGGCTGCTGGGCTGTTTGTGGCCAGGCAGACGAGGAGTCCTTCGATGCAGAGGGTGCCCCGGTATCCTGTCCGTGGTTCTACCCTGTGGTAGAACAGCATGACGTAACCTACCATAGGGTAAAACCACTGGCAGGACACAGAGAGACGGACACACACAGGGCGGGAGCCACACCAGAAGCCCACCAAGCAGAGCCTGGAGAGGAGGTCACCACGGTCACCACGGGAAAGACAGCCATCGATCCACGGGGGCCAACACAGAGGGCAAAGCCACCAACGAACAGAGGACCAGCAGCAAGTTAGCCCAACACCAAGCGAGATGTCCCACTCCGAGATAGGTGAGTGAGCCGAGCAGTCACCACAGGCTAAGATACTCCTCCTCTCTGCCGGGGCCCTTCAGCCCCATCGTCCAAGGCAACTTTTTGCTAGAGAGCCTGCTAACTTTTGTAGGTGGGCTATGGTGAGGGCGAAACAATGCTTTGGGCTCTTTTGGGGGTTGTGTCGGCCGTTTGAACTGTACTGATCCTGTGTGGGTGACATGCAGCTGAATGCTGGTCAAGGCCCTTTGGATTGTGACACAGCTTATCCATGCCGGCTATGTACCAAGATGCCCCCACTTAACCTGCCCCAGCGGCCTTAAAAGTAGGAGAAGTCCAGGGGTGATTTTAATGGACGACCACATGGCACTGATATTTAGCTGCTGCCCACCGGTGCAAGCAGATGGCGTTCAAGCACAGCAATAATGACAGATGGGTTGGTAAAGGAGCCATTGCCCTGAGCCCTCCTTCTGGGGCCCCCATGACCCAGTAACTAAAGGTTAGTACCCAGCCCAGCAGGGAACCCTGGGACCCAGTTCCAGCATTTGAACTGGCCATACCCGTGCCCACTCCTGAAGAAGTGTAAGGGCACTGGCAACCAATCTGAGCAAGGAGGAGGCAGCTTTCCGGCCACAGGCCCAGTACCCTGGGGAAGTGGGGTGCAGCGCAGCCTTCCCGGGGCACCGACTCACCTGGCAATGCCCCCGTAGTCCAGGCCCTCCTCGCCACGCATGATGATGTAGAGCCGGCGGCGCAGGTCGTAGGGTTTCATGTTCATGATCTGGGGAGACAGAGCATCATGGCCACCCTGCCACTCTCCCTTCAAGGCAACTGGGGGCAGTGGGCAGGGGACAGACAGCACTCACCGAGGCCCAGGCCTTGGATACTCTACTGTGTGGGTTTATTTATTTATTTATTTATTTTATTTTTTTAAAAATATATTTTATTGATTTTTTACAGAGAGGAAGGGAGAGGGATAGAGAGTCAGAAACATCGATGAGAGAGAAACATCGACCAGCTGCCTCCTGCACATCTCCCACTGGGGACGTGCCCGCAACCCAGGTACATGCCCCCGACCGGAATCGAACCTGGGACCCCTCAGTCCGCAGGCCGACGCTCTATCCACTGAGCCAAACCGGTTTCGGCCTGTGTGGGTTTAATAGGCCACGTGATAGAAGACGGGGTGCTGGGAGGGGGCCTTTCACCTGCCTCTGGACTTAGATAGATACCATAATTATTTTCTAACCTGTTGGAAAGAATCCTCAAAAAGTGTCTGCCTGGAAACGCTGATCTTCACGTGGCTGGGGAGGGCATTTGACTGAAAGGAGAAAAGACAAACCTTGAATCAGGCCTCAGGAGGTAATTATTCAGTCTGGTCTCCTGTCTGTATGAGGAGGTTTCCCTGTCTCCCTGGGCCAGGAGAGGAGAGCCTGGTCCCTAGGAATGGGAGCTGGCTTCCTGGAGACAATGTCAAACAACGGCTCGGTCGGGGTCAGATCAGTGGCCTGCCCCCAGCTCACCAGACTGCTGCTGGGCTCGGAAATCGAGCTGAAACAAGTCCACCACCCCACCCTGCAGGGACGGCCCAGCACCAGAACTCACATGGCAGAGGAAACGGAACTGGTGATACTTCCATCGGAAACTTCGGTCATAGGCACCAGGGGAACCTTGCTTCGCCCTGGGAAGAGCAAAGAAGTTCTGGAATCTGTGATTTCTCAAAAATTACCAATGTATCTGTTAGCCCTAAGGACAGCTGGTGCTATTTTAAAGATGAGTAAATTAAGGCATAAAAGAGAGGAAGTGACTGCCTTTAAAATCTTTGGCAGATTTGAGAAGTAAAACAAACAAAAAACCTAGATATAACGACAGATTTTTGCTTTGAGAGAGAGAGGAAACCACTGGTGTTACTCTGAATAACTGGGGTGGCCCCCTCCTTCCCCAGCCCTGCTGATGTGACATGGAAATTGGTCACTAGAGGGCAGTGAGAGCAGCTGAACATGGATACTGCTGTCGCCTGTGGCAAGTCCTTACCCTGACTCAAACCCTGGGCGAGGATCCTTAAAGGTGGTGGTACGGGTATTGTGGTCCACGAAGTAGCGCACCCCCTCGTTGGTGTACTTCATCTCCCACCCTGGGGGCAGAGCTGGCTCCTGGATCATCCTGCCAACACGGGAAGAGGAAGAGGGGGGTTAGGGCTGGCCTCACCTTCTGGGCCTCAATGCTTAGGAGGCTGGGGTCCCCAAAGTACTCCTTTCTCTCTGCTTTCACCCAGGTTCTGCAAAGCTTTTCCTTGAGGAACGGTACCTGGTACCACCCAAGTCATGAGGACAGTTGTGAAGAACAGAGAGGTCGTTTACTGCCCCAAGGCCCAAGAACCAGCCCTCAGTGGCCATGGCCATGGCCATAGCCTGAGTGGCCACCAGCAATCCTGAGGCACCAACTGCCCCAGTCCCAGACCAGCTTGGGTGGGGGGAGCACAGGGTGAAGTCATGTTATCAGCAGCGTGCACAGTCAACACAGCTACCAGGAAAATCAATTTAAGGAGCCCCTTTAGGCTCTCATTCGGCTGACACTGTATCATGAGGGTCTCCAGGCACTTGTGTGTGGCTGAAGGTCCCAGAACATTGGCCATAGAGGACAAATGCAGTCCAAGGCCATCAGCCAGTGCTAGAGCTGCACAGGGCCCCCTCCCAGCCCGAGCCCTTACCCCTGGGTCCGAGGGTCCTCCCACTGGGTGGTGCGCGTGTTATGGTTCACGTAATACACCCGTCCGTTGTCCTGTCTCTTCTCTGCCAGGGAGAAGAAAGAAAGGAGGACAGTCAGATTGGGACATCTTGAGCCCTGTTCTCTCCCCGTCTGGGTGCCCCTTTCCAGGTGCTGGGGTCTGACTTGCCGCCGCTGTTCCCGCCCTGTTAGAGAAGTTTATCCAATAAAAGCCCAGCTCACACACATCTGTCACTGGCAAAAAGGACAAAGAGAATCTTTCCCTAGTGGGGAGTGGTGGAGGGACAGTCACATTTCCAGCTCAGGATCAAGCACTGTCTTCGGTTGGTTGGTTGGTTGGTTGGAGGGCGGGGGGCAGTGTGGCAACACGGAGGGGGAGCAGCCCAGCTGAAAACAGAGGCCTAATTGCATCCAGCTGTGTGCAAAGTGGAGGCCCTCACCGATGCCCCCCCGCCCCCAAGTCCCTGACAGCTGGTCTCTGGTCCTGCCACCGCTCTGCCCACCAGATGCAGGGACCCAGGCACCTGTGGGGGTTGCATTTCCCTCACACCTCTCTGATCAGCACTCCACATACCCTCTCTTGGTCTTTTTTCTCCTCAGAGGCAAAGTTTTGTTCTAAAACTCTCATGTCCCAGCAAAACCTCTATGTTGCATATGTGCAAATAAATGCAGGGGCTGCGGCACTTACAACGCCCATCTAGCGCTCACACCTAAGGGCATGCGTCCAGCATTTGGGAGAGCTCAGACATTTTCTCTCTCTCCTCTGGACAATCCTTACTCTCTTGCTCTTTGCCTGTGCACGGAGGATGGCTCTGGGGTCCTCTAGGGAGGGAATCTGGGCTTCAGGAGCAGACCTGAGTCTAGTGGGGATTCCGGGCCCTGGAAAAGGTTAAAAGGGACACCCTATCAGCTCTGAGTGGCTGGAAGGCAAAACTCAGGGCAAGGCTCTGAACCCAAGACAGGTCACCTTCCCCAGGAAGTTTCTGAGGCTTCCAATCTGTTTCTGTCTTGAGAACAAATGACGCTAATGGCCCTCTCTCACTTACGATGACAGGGAAAAATTAAAAAAATAAACACAATCAGTTCCAGAACCTAACAGGGAAACTAAAATCGAAAAGAAGCAGAACTGGGGGGACCCCATCCCCTCCCCTCAAGTGTCAGGCTGCAACATTCCCATTACTAACCCAAGATTTTGGTCTCTGTCTATCTTACCTGGTATCCATTAATCGATAAAAAAAAAACACACACACACACACATACAAAAGGAGTCAAGAGAAGGGGCCCAGAATTGCTACAGAGCTCCCCCCACCTCAGAAGCGCTGTGGGGCTGTCCCACTGAACACAGGCTTCCCGAGAGGGACCTGCGGGAGGGAAGGGCTCCCAGCCAGAGGCTTCTGCTCTCAACTGGACCCTCCACATCTGCTCTGCCGGGGCCTCAGTCAGCGCTCACCACCAGGCTGCGGGATCTGCCCACAGGTCTGAGGCCTGTGCCCTTGCCTCTGGCACTGCTCCCTGCACGGGGGCCTCGTGTGGTGCCTCGGAACTGCTTTGCTGCAAACAATTTCATACTTTGGGGCTGGGAGAGTCCCGAGAGCATCTAGCTCAGCCTCATTTAGGGAGAAATGGACTCGGGAACATTAGGGCTCGTGCCCAGGGATCTGGGCAGCTGAGGAGAGGTGGACCTAACGCTGAGATGCCCCGACCCCTGAGCCGACGCTCAGGAAGGACCACGGGGTCTGTCATGGAGGAGCAGGAAGGGACGCAGAACTAAGAGCAGGAGGACACAGCAGACCTGGCAGCAGGCTCGTGCTAAAGGCAATTCTCGTTTAGTTTTGCTGCTCTTTCTGTTCAATCTCCGCTCTCCCTGGGGCGATGCCTGCACCAGCCCTGGAGAAGCCAACACAAAGCCCGAAGGATTTGATTAGGAAGGCCCCTGGCCCTCGGCCAGATGTTCTTTTTTCTCAGTCGCATACCCTTTAGTTTTGTCGGGGTTTCCTCATCATTTGTAAACAGCACTGACTCCAAGCGTGGCTCCGAGTCCCATGTCACACGTGGCTTCTGGGAACTGTTTACAAGTCCTTACAGCCACCCTTAGTGGTGACCATCATTTAGCAAAACTGGTACAGAAATACATTACTTGACTCTATGGAGAAAGGTGCAACTCTGAGCCCCCAGCTCCAGGTCACAGGGTCTACTGGCTGCCAAACAGCATTACAGATTCTTGTTTCATCTGTTGAGTTTTCCCCTATCTAGACAGGGGTCCTGTGCGGACGCCCTCGCCTTTGACTTGCTGCCAGTCTCTGAGACAGCAATGGCCTTTCATCGGCTCAGGGAGCAAGGTGGATTCTCTAGCAGAAAATCAACTGTGTGGAGGCCTCCCTCACTGGCATATCCCACTAGGAGGACGAGGAGGTCCCTCCAGTGCTCTGGAATGCTGCGGTAATTCACTAAGTGATACCCTGCAGGTCCCATGGGGTTGATGCAACCTCGTAAATTACTACCAGGGAGTAGTTGTGTCTGCACCAAGAGGCTCAGATGCGCATCCTGTCATTGTCAGCCTCTCTATCTTCGCTGGGGAGCATGCCCCCGCCCAACTTAATACCATCTGTGAACACCACCAAACCGGCACTTACTGTCTTCTGCCGGCCTAATCAATCAATTAAACCCAGCACAGGCCAATTCCTGCTACACGGTCGGTCCTCTTTAGCTCCCAGGAGCTCTTGCCTGCTGAAAAAAATCCTGACCCAGCTCAGAGAGCGACGGAAAGCACCCAGTCTCGCCGTCTCTGATGACCCCTCTTTGCATGACCACTCCATCCCAGAAAAGCCATGACGTCTGTAATTTCTCTCAAGTCATAGATGTCCATCTAACTCATTACTGGAAATCACACCGAAGACTTAGGTAAGAGGCAGCTGTCAATGACAAGGAGAAGCCAGCCTGATGCCGTTAGCTAGCAACAGTGTACTTCAATAGAGTTGCTGCCCAGCGCTCAGCTGGCTTCCCTGCGGCCCCTTTCACAGTTGTGTTCCCCCAAAAAGCTGGCTTCCATTAGCTCAGGGGTCGGAGCATCTCAGCGTTAGGTCCACATCTCTTCAGCTGCCCTGACCCAGGGCACATGCCCCGAATGTTCCCGAGTCCCACTTCTCCCTAAATGAGGCTGAGCTAGATGCTCTTAGTCCTCCAACATCTCAGCTGCAAAGGAAGGTTTGGTAAGGTAGCTCCTTTCAATCACATGGCCACGGGCCTGAAATAAATGCATCTGGGAATCAGCCACGTCAAAATGTCTTAGTGACAGGATGGGTTGTTGGGTCAACACCTTGAAAGTCAGGACCAAAGCCCAAAAGTACCACAGCCGCTCGGGGGACTTCTTTCGTAGCCGTCCCCCTCCTTCCGCTATGGTGGGGGAATGCTACCGGGCAGGGGGGCTCCATTACTTTCCCAGCCTTCTCGCTCCATGGCCTGCAATTTCTCTGGCTGGGCATCCCCACAGAGCGTGCTGGAAAGAAGTGAACTGGGAAACCGAGGGAGGGGAGAGAGGAGGACTCACAGGGAGAGCACAGAGCATGGAGCAGCACCCGCTAAGGGAGGCTGAGGGACAGACGTGGGACTCGGTACTTACCCCAGCCGGGAGGGAGGGGGCCCAGTGGGTCATGGTCGGTTGAACCACTCGAAGACTAAACACAAGAAACACAGCAGAACACAGAGGTTAAAAAAACGCCGCTGGTTAAAAATAAATTGAAAGATAAACCTAAAAACGCCAACAACTCGTTTCCACATTTGCGCTCTTTGTGGAGGAGATCGTGGGGCTTTAGGTGACATCCGCTCCCCTCAAAAGTCTTTTTCAAAAAAGAAAAACTGAAAAAGAACCCTGCACACTGAGGACCCAGATAGGTTTTGGCGAGGGTAGAGTGAGGGGGAGGAAGAGGTGCGCAGATGAAGGCGGGCCAGGGCCCCGGAGGCAGCGGGCTGGCCCCAGGCATGGCCGAAGGGCCCAGAGCCGGGCTGCTGGCGAGCTCAGCCGGCCCAGTGCCTCTGCTCAGCTCCTGCTCTGCGCGGCCAAGGCAACTGAAATCACCACCACCTCCAAATTTCTCCAAGAACCACACACGGGAGGGGAAAAAATATCGCAGGCCTTTCCAATGAAATCATTCCCACAAGCCCTGCCCACGCCCAGAGCTTCCTGGCTGGGGGCTGGGCCCTCCTCCCTGCACCTCCCTCCTGGGTGCGCTGGAAGAGGGAGCAGGGTGTGCAGCATCGGCCCAGACTGAGGGCACATTCATGCCCCAGGCCCCTCACCTCCCCCAGGAATGTTTTGCTTCCCTTCACAAAGCACCTTTATTCTCCTCCGGCCTGAACCTGAAGTTGCACAGTGTTCTGTGTGTGCCTGTCTGGGGAGGTGGGGCTGGGGGCGAGGTGGCAAGAGAGAAGGGGAGACAGGAGAAAGAAGGGGGAGCTGACTCCAGGGCTTCAGGGTCGCTGTTTACCTTAGAGCCCCCCACCCCCAGCCAAACTCTGCTGCAAGGTCCCTGGGGCGGGGCTGCAGCGGACCAAGAGTTCTCATATCCTGCGGGGAAGGGGGTGCTGTCAGAATCTCCTCATAGTTAAATAAAACAAGTATTGTTCTGCGCTTTCTTTCTTCCTCCCTCTCTCTCTCTCTCTTTTCTGAAACATTTTTATTTCACTTACTAAAATTTAATCATTACATTAGGGGATCAAGTTCTCCGTGCAGACTGGGAGCTGCCTGGCTGGCCCCTTTGGAGCCACACACAGGCATGAGGATGAATGGAGCTCAGTCTCGTCTTGAGAAAACATTGGTGAGGCTCAACTGCCAACGAACCCCCTTTCACGGCCACCCTCCACCCCCAGCTGAAAGGACAGAGAAACTTTCTTTCCAAGGTGGCAGCACAAGCAACTCTTCCAAAGTGAGTTCCAACAAAGACGCTTAAGTCTGGAAACCATACGTTCCTTGACGGGACAGAGCCCCCTTTCAGCAGCGGGCCTCCAACCCAGCAGAATGAAACTGCACCAGGGTGTGGGGAGCGGGCTGTCCTCCATGAAGGGCACGTTACCATCGGCGTACCGTGGAGGACGTGCGCAGTATCTCCACCACAATGCAGGTTGGTCTGATGGTTACTGAAAAAGATCTCCCAGATTCACAGCGGTCATTTTGCTGGGGGAAGGGTGCAGCATCTCAAGTTCCTCCACGTTTGTTTGAAACACCCATGCATTTCAGACAATGAAGCCAAATACAATGTCGTGGGGTAAGTACTGAGCTGCGGCAATGACCTTGAAGAAGGAAAGAACTACAGCAAAGGTCATTTTAAGAATTTAAAAGAAGCATTTGGTGCAAAATGTTTGCTGCTTCAGGTCTTTTCTTGGAATGGGTGGACAATCCACAAGCAATGAGGGGCTCCGATGGGTACCAAATGGGTTTCAGTGGACTTACAGGCATCTTTTGCTTAACTGTATAAATCAACAGACCAAATGTCTTTACTGACAGTCTCTGTGACCTGCATTGAACTACAAACAAAAAATATTTATCATCCCCCTAACTGGTTTGGCTCAGTGGATAGAGCAGGGGTCCTCAAACTTTTTAAACAGGGGGCCAGTTCACTGTCCCTCAGACCGTTGGAGGGCCGGACTATAGTTTAAAAGAAAAACTAGTCGGCTGCTAAGCAACAGGCAGCGGCGGCAAAAACACCCGGCAGGCCGGATAAATGTTTTTGGCGGGCCGCATGTGGCCCACGGGCGTAGTTTGAGGACCCCTGGGATAGAGCGTAGGCCTGTGGACTGAAGGGTCCCAGGTTCGATTCCGGTCAAGGGCATGTACCTTGGTTGCAGGCACATCCCCAGTAGGGGACGTGTAGAAGGCAGCTGACCGAAGTCTCTCTCATCGATGTTTCTAACTATCTCTCTCCCGTCCTCTCGTAAAAAAATCAATTAAAAAATATATATACATAAAATATTTATCAGCTAGCAAATAACACAGCATCTAGAGTGTAGGCACATGACTTAAGAACAGCCAATCAGGTGCTCCCACCCAAATTTGCAGGGACCGGAAAGAAAGCATGGGGGCTGTTGGAGATGCCTCACTGCTTCAGTAGAGACCACAGCCCATTGAAGCACCGAGTGTTTGGCCGCAGACAGATGAGCGATGTCCTAGGCAGATCATCGCTTTGCCCTGCCTACCCCTGGTTTTCTGCCAGAGTTAGGTTCTTCATCGTTCTGTGGATTCCCACTTGATAAATTTTTTTTTGCTTAAGCTTAACCAAGCAGGTTTCTATTATTCATCAAAATGAACACTGACTAGCATACAAAACACAGGGAGGAGAATAAAAAGAAATTATCAGCCCTTTTCTTAATCCTTGACTTTTTAATGTCACAAACTTCATACAATGGTGGCTCTCTTTTGTTAAAGTGATTTTTAAAAAATGTCTTCAGCATCCTCCTACTCTCACCTCCAACGCCTGTCAGAAGAGAGAAGAGGAAGCAGGAGGGAGGGAGATAGAGACCAGAAACTAATAAACAGGAACACGTGAAATGGAGGCACTGGGAGCCGACCACCTGCCCTTCTCTTCCACCACACTTCCCAGAATGCACTATCGCAGGTGGGTGGCTCACAGCAGAAAAGCACAGAGAAAGGGGCCGGGAGGGATTATATAGCCAGAAGAGAGATCCTAGGACTCAAAGAGACAAGACAGTTTCCTTTATCACTAGGAACAGAAAGGAACGCTGTTGAACAATTTTCCTGGGAAGCGTCCGCTGGTTGGGAGATCCGAGGGACAGGCCATGAGCCAGACAGCTCATGTGAGTTCAAGTCTCTCGGGGAATAAGCACCAAGTTCCGGTAATATTTTAAGATACAAACTCAGAAATAAAGAATGTCTAGCAAATAAAACCAAGGGCAAGAAGGCTCTGGGAAGGGCATAAAGGTTACAGTGTGGAAGGCAGGCTCCTTTTTTTGTAAAGGGTGCACTCAGTGGGTGCAGAACAAAACCCAGGTGCTTGAGAACCCAAGCCACGGGGCCTCTGCACAGTGAGAGCCAGGTTTTGGCATCCTCATATTCGGAGCCACAGAATGATTTGCTTCTGTCCCGCCGACACTAGATTATTAGGAGAGGACCAAAGCGGGAGCAAAGGAAGAGGTGTCGCAGAAATAGTAGTAGATGTGAGACGGGTCGTGTCACAATACACAATGCGCACGATCGGGCCGGGCATCCTCAGTGGACTGCCGTGAGAACCCAAAACAGGGCAAAGTGAAAGTGCACATCGAACACAAGTATGTGCATGATGATCATGAGCTACAAAGGCACCAGGCCGTAAGGACAGGAAAACATGTCAGAAATAAGGGAACAACAGAGACCGAAAAAGATGTGCGTTGAGGCAGATGGCAGGAAGGAACTGCGGGAGTCTGCAATCTGGGCTTCCCTAGATTTCCATCTTGAACTGTATTTTGTGCTCTGCAGGGCAGTAAAGAACGGGTCTCACTTTCAGCCCCGCAGGAGAAAGAGGAGGAGGGGAGGCCGCTGGTATAGTATCAGCTCTTAAGTCTACCACGTCAAATCCTGGGCCAAGGCCAAACCCCAAAATAACTCCATGAAAGCGACTCTTCTTACTTGTAACCAGGACATGGCACCACAGCAAACAAGAGGGGCAAATTGAACCCAAGGGGGAGGGAAATCAACAGAGAGACATTGAAAGCTGAACCAAAAAATATGGGTCTTGTTTCAGGGAGAAAAGGGAACCATCGCCGCCATCCAGAGCCCTCCTAAATCCCCAACCAAGCTGAGAAAACTGTATTAGAGTACTTAAAAAGAAGGGGAAAAATTTTAGTGCTTAATTTTTACTTCTCGGAGACCCTCCAAGTCAAAGTTCTTCCTCTGCAGCCCCAGAATGATGCTGCTAAAATGAGAGGCAGGTAAGCGGAACAAAAGACCAAGCATACGTGAACTCGGGGATCTTCCCTTTCACATACCAAGCATCTTGGTCAACCTACAGGACCTACTTGGTACTTGTTAGAGAAGAAAAAAGATCCCTTTAATGGATTCTTTTTTAACTTGAGAAGTTGGATAAGCAGGAAGACAGAACCATGTGAGACTCCTAAAATGTGTCCTTGTTGTGAAGTCAAAGGACCACCCACGCAAATGGCAGGTAAGGTCTTTGGGGCCCAGCTCATGAGAACAATTTCTGAAACGCAGAGGATGACCAGATCCCATCCCATTTTGAAACATGCCAGAACCGGATGCCAGGCATGATTGAAAGGGGTTATAGAGTGGGAGGCCTGGCATAAGGACTCAGGCAGTACTGCACCTGGTAGACCACCAGGGCATTTCAGCTGCTCTATCTTGTGACAGGGATTAAATGTTGTGGACCAGCTCACAAAGTTTCCAACCTCCAATCCACCACATCCTATGAGGGTTCTACACAGATCCCAAGCTCCATGTTCAAGGTGCTCTGAGAGAATGCAGAGTTCCAACTTGGGAATCCTACCCCTTCCTCCCCAAAAGGCCGTGTGTCTGGGATCCCTCCAGCCACCATGTTACTGGTGGAAGCTCTAATGGAGTGGAGACTCAGGAAGGTGGGGCTAAGAGGGTTCACAGTACTGGAAACCATAGACAGTTCATCTGGGACCACTCTGAATTCTGGAGTAGAACATTTAAATGCTATTCTGTAGGTAATGACCACAAAAGTTTTTGAGCCAGTGATAAAAAATGACAGTAATTGCCCTAACCGGTTTGGCTCAATGGATAGAGTGTCGGCCTGCGGACTCAAGGGTCCCAGGTTTGATTCCGGTCAAGGGCATGTACCTTGGTTGCGGGCACATCCCCAGTAGGGAGTGTGCAAGAGGCAGCTGATAGATATTTCTCTCTCATTGATGTTTCTAACTCTATCCTTCTCCCTTCTTCGCTGTAAAAAATCAATAAATTTTTTTAAAAATGACAGTAATAAATGTAAAGCAACACTCTCCCCCCTTCCTTAAACCCTCTACAGTGATTTTTTTTTTAACAGTGATGAAATGACAGTGATACTCTGGTGGGAACAGGCAGTATGAATTAAAGGAGAGAGAATGGCAGCAGAGAGAACAATTCAGAAGCTGCCCTAACCATTCAGTTGGAAGAGGCAGAGGAAAATCCGGAATTAGATAGCAGGAGGTTGATCTAGCCTAGGGGGTCAATAAACTTTTTCTGTAAAGGGTCAGACAGTAAATATCTTAGGCTGTATGGGCTACATACTCCCTGTTGTGACTACTTAACTCTGCTATTACAGCTTAGAAGTAGCCATAATCAATACCTCAAGTACAGGGTGTGCTTATGTGCCAATAAAGCTTTATTAACAAAATCAGGTGAGGGCCAGTCTGGCCCACAGGCTAGAGCTTGCCAACCCCTGATCTAGATGAACTTTAAAGGCCCTTCCATCCTTTAGTATCTGTCCGATAATAAAGATCTAAAGAAACACAGTAGCAATGAGAAAAGAAGGATTTGGGTGGTTGCTTTGATTTGAAAGGGTGAGATATAGGAGAAGTCACCACTGACCAGGCTCTAAGTCTGGGTGAATGGACTTGGATGGGAGGGCCAGAAGAGAATCCAACGTTGAAAGAAATGGTGAATTCAGCTTCAGACACATTGAGTCCAGTGGTTCTCAACCTTCCTGATGCCGCGACCCTTTAATACAGTTCCTCATGTTGTGATGACCCCCAACCATAAAATTATTTTCGTTGCTACTTCATAACTGTAATTTTGCTAATGTTATGAATCGTAATGTAAATATCTGATATGCAGGATGTATTTTTCAGGGGTCGCGACCCACAGGTTGCGAACCGCTGCCTTAGACACAGACGCTGAGCATTGAGTTACTAAGTTAGAAACACTGGAGTTTGAGGAATTTCACTGTGATGAGTAAAATCCCAGGGTCAGGGCACTGACATTTTCCCTGCTCACCCAACAGGTCGGTGGAGACTAGGCGAAGCTGCAATTTCTGCCCTCTCACCTGGTAGAGGAATCTTTGGCTGAAGTGCTGCATGGCGCCCTGGAGCTGATTCCGCTGTGACTGCCACTGCTCATAGTTGCGCACATACTCGGCTGTGGGGCGCTGCCAGGTGGTGGTCCGAGTGTTGTGATCCACATAGTAAAATCTGCCTCGGGGGTCTGTGCGTTTCTCCCAGCTGGAAACGTGAAACTCAGCGTGAATACAGTGCCCACCCCACCCCCACCTTCAAATCCTAGCAAAATCTCAGATGGCTGACAAGAAAGGGCCAAGGGAGGGTGGAGGGTGGTGTCTGGCACAGGAGCTTGGCTGCTTGCGGGGAAGCACAGTCAGGCAGGCCCCAATCACAGAGCTTCTGAGGCTTAGATGATTATAGAGAAAATCTGTGGTTGCATCCTTAGCAACCAATCCCTCCTTACCACTAGCTCCTGATTCCCATTTATAGGGAAGATGACCCTACTCCCAACCCAGGAGTTGAACTATTGACTAAACCAAAAGTGGACAAAGGCCGGTCAGTCGGTGAATCTTGATAGTTTTGCTAGGAATTCTGGAAAAAGCAGTCTCTCCTCCTTGCAGGATATGACGGAGAAAGCATGCAGTCTGGGAGC